AGCCCGCCTATTTCTCCATCATCAGAGAAACGTGGAAGGCTATCAACATGGGCTTATGCTGAGTATTCAGAGTGCGTTTTGATGAGTTATCTATTAGTATATGTGCGAAAAGCAAAAGTGTTTTTCTCAGTGGTCCAGAATCCGACGAAGACGATGATCACTACAAGAAAAATCAGAGGAAGCAGAATTTCAAAGCTACGCCTACGACTGGAAGGTATCTTTTTAAAGAACTATAAATTCTTTATTTCGCACGGCCGACCACGGTCACCACGTTTGCGGCACGACAGTTAAATTTTTTTGAGCAGTCTCTCTTATTACAGTGGCAAGAAGCGTGGGCGACCTCCTAAGAATACGCCAAAAGAGGCTCAAAGGTGCGCTCAGACATTCTGCATTCTACCGTTGTTTTCAGTACAGAGAAATCTTTCTTTGGTTATACACCTCAATAGCCGTAGAAAGTTTATATTCCAGTTAATAAGCTTCTTCAATCATACCTTCGCCCGAATGCTGCACAGGACTGAGTTTTTCTTGGCGACATTTGACTTTTTCCCCCCATACTTTTTCATATGCTTTATAAGGGAGGGGGGGGGGTGGAAGCAATCGAAAGCAAGAAAACACTGACCGGTCCCCCTTTGTGAGCGGTCTGTTTGCATGAGTTTGGTTACGGCGTTTTGAACAAAGCCCAGATGCGGTCTCATCTCGCCCAGAGTCGCCTCGAATTATCTTCTAGTGTAGTCACAAAAACTGGAAAGCAGACGGTGTAACGCTGCGCTCGTAATTTTCTCCCACCCTATAAATTCCGGCTGAGCGGGTTTTTTTTTGAATAAAGCAAGATGGATAAGAATACTCTTGTGGGGTAGTTCGGCGACGGGGGACATTTTGCACTTTCGCTACTGCCATCGATGTGTCAACACCATCTAGAGAGCCTTTCTTTTTTCCGAGTTGACAGATTCTTCTACCATGGTGGCTCTTTGAGCTTTCCAGGAGTTCACAGATTTCACTAGAGTGGGACTTACAATCCGGAGCTACTGAAGCAGCGAAATTGCAAAATCTCCCGCCCCCCTTTTTCTTCGCCGAACTGCGCCGTCATTTTGGATGTTGACCAATGGAATTCCATAGGCTAGATTACATATGAACTACGACAGAGCATTTGAGGTTGTACCCCTCTTCTTTTTCTCATGTGTTGATTTTAGCGCTGAAGTCAAAAAGATGTCAAGCGGTAAAAGAGGAAGACCGCCTAACATTTTCCCTTTCAAGATTATTTTTTAATCTCTGTCCAAGAAAACTTTGGGCTACAATCAGTATCGTAGGGTCATAATGTGCACTTTTTTTCTTAATTTGATATTTTTACTAGCGCTCGATTATTGTGATTTTTGAGCGACGAAAAAAGTTCCACGGACCAGGGAGCCTTGAACAATGGAACTCTGAAGAAAAACGATTCGCAGTCGGAGAAGTCCGATTCGGATGATGCCTCCAAAGCTCAGCTCAAAGGCACGAATGAAAGCGGGTACATTTCTCTACCCCTGCTTCAGCTAGTTCTTTTTATGTATTCAAATATAAACAACTTGCAGTGAAGTGGAATAATCTCAAATTGTTCAAATTAGGTTTTTTCAGGCAAATCATCACGGAAAAGCGCCAACGTGGAAGACCACGAAAGTCAGATAAATCTGACCCGAGAAAGTGGTAAGTTAAATTTCTATCAGATTGACCCTTTCTTTTTCACTTCTTCTTTTTTTTTCTTTTGTGGGTATAAGTTTGCTATGTAAAAATACTCTAATTTAAATGAACTTTTAAAGGAACGATGTGAGTTCGCCGCAAACAGGCCGCTACACTGTCCCTTTGCCTGTTCCTGATAGCTGGCCATTGGTGTGCAATAGAGTAAGTGAACTGACTCATCCTTAGAGATCGATATCACTAATTTCAGAACGAGACTTGTAATTTTCAGGAAGAAATCATGAAAGAGCTCTCTGAAATGTATACAAATGTGAAAGATGAGAAGCTTGGCGAGTTTCATAATCAAATCAAGGCCTTTGTGTTCGCTTTGCATTGGGTAAGTATTAGTAGTCTGTGCCACTGAAAAGGTTTTTTCAAGGTACCGAGGAACTAAATTCACCTTGGAACGCGATGTTATGGAGAATCATTCAATTTAAGGCGGTTACAAGCGTTTAAACGGGCGATGCCTGATTACTTGAGGATAGGAGTTAGAGTCCCAGTTGGAAAGCTCTGCCGCAAATATGACCGTTTTCGTCACTCGAAAAGGCGTGCCAAAGAGGCCTGAGTCTTGTGGTTCTTTTTGTGA